CTCGAGCTGTCAACGTCAGCCTCAAAGTCCACCGTCATAAACACGTTGGTGTCGTGGGGCGCAAACGCGCAGACGCCATTGTGCAGCGTGCTCCAGTACACAGTGCTTGCAAGCATTGTGGCGCCAGACGCGTCGTTGTCGATGGTGATTTTTCTCCCACCGTCATTGCGCCCGCACGCTCAGATCCGAATATGACCCTGCAAGCGAACACATGTGTGTGTGTGTGTGTGTGTGTGTGTGTGTGTGTGTGTGTGTGTGTGTGTGTGTACGCGCGCGCGTGTGTGTGTCAGAGTGTCTGCATCACATCATGCACCCATGTGTGTGTGTGTGTGTGTGTGTGTGCGTGTCGCATGTCATGCGCCTATCTGTGCCCATATGTGTGGTTGCCTCTTGCACGATGTTGCCCACCTGGCTGCAGCCAGATGCCATCGTAGTCGCAGTTGGAGTACGTGGTCACGGGTGCAATCATGAAGGTCGTCTCAAACTGGGAGGTGTGTGGATTGGGGGAAACGAGAGCGGATTGGGGGAAACGAGGGCGGATGGGCGCGAAAACATGGCGTTAGATGAAGCGCAGTGCAACTGGAGATGGTGGTGCACGCAAAAAGGCAAACATACACACACACATGCACACAAACCCGACACACACGCACACGTGCGCGCACGCACCTGGGCAGAGCGGCCGTTGCTGAGCTTGGTGCAGGTGCCGTTAAGGGCGACATCACCGGAGGAGGCTGAAGGTGTGTATGCAAACAAGCCACAGACCAACCGCACGTTAGTGCAACATGAGAATGGCACATGCATGGAAGCATGGAATGAATGCGCGGCACGATGTGATAAGTTTGGTTCGCATGACATTACGCTTTCGATTCACGCACAAGTGGAAGAGCAGTAAGTTGAGCTGTAGTAGCCCGTGGACAGCGTGGACGAGGGCTGAAGCAGGTCGCGGTCCACGCGAATGCTGTTGTACGTGCCAACCCGGATGCACCTGCAGGGGACCACAACACAACCCGTGTGAACAGCAACACACAACATAGTGCCAGCAACACAGCAACGGCAGTGTCGACAGCGTAGTGGCTCGGTCGCTGTGCAATGAAAAGCGAGGGTTGCTTCTCACATGCACGCAAGCAAGCAAGTCGCCTGCAAGCACGCGCGTCCACGCACAACTGCACTCACGAGCCGAAGGTGGTGACGTTGCGCTGAACCAGGATTTTGGACGAGTCGCACTTGTCGTTGTCGTAGATGGTCAGGTATACGGCAGCGGGTTGCCAGATGGGCGGCTCGACAACCGCGTTGGCCTGCACGCGGGAGCACAAAGGAAGTTGTTGATGAGCACATGACATGATGCGAGAAAGAGCGAGTTGATGTGTGTGAACGAAGGCAAAGACAATCACAACCACAAAAACAAAAAAAAAAAAACACGACACACAAAGCAACACAACTACACACACAAGCAACATACACGCACGCACACACAATCAACACACATGCACACACATAACACACACAACACACACGCACTCCTTCGTACCGTGCTTGCGGCGACAGCCAACACAGCCGCCAAGACCAGCAAAACAGCAGAAGCGCGCAGCATCTTGTTCAATCAGCACAGCACTCGAGAATCTTGCGCAGTGGACAGAGTCGCAGAAAAGTCGTTGAAAATACCTACAAACTTTCGCAATTCCCCTTCGCTTCACAAACACACCACCAAACAAACACCAAACGCGAGTGGTTTTGCAGTGCCACAAAGTGCCGTTGGTCTCACGCCAAGCAACCAACAACACATGGGAGGAGGTGGTGGTGGCCTTGGCTGCTCGTGGCTGCAGCTGGCATGCTGCTTGGTGGTTGCTGTGACGGCGTTGCTCTTGACACACCTACCAACCAGCGCAGGTTGGGGGATGTGTGCGTGATGTGTGCATGGGAGCAGTGGCGGCGATGGGTGACACGAGGGACACCACATCTGCGATGCGAACATGTTGCTCCTTCGAGCTCACGACTTGATGGTTTGCATCCCATAATCCCTGTGACACGTGCAGGTGCACCTTGTAACGCAACGGCCTGCGTTGGCCAAGGGCTGGAGTGTCTTGCAAGGCGCATCAACGCGACAGCCACCACGTGTGCGTGTGTTCCCCCACAAACGCAAGCCGCGTCCATTTCACGTGAGTGTGAGACACAGCTGGTGCTGAAACGCGTGCACGTGATATCGTATTGGTCTGTTGTGCCAGTGTGGCCGCGAAAATGTGAAAATGTGTGTGTGTGTTTCTCTGTGTCTGCATCTGTGTGTGGATATGTGTGCCTGCATCTGTGTGGATGTGTGTGCCTACATCTGTGTGTGGATATGTGTGCCTGCATCTGTGTGTGTGTGTGTCTGTCTGCATCTGTGTGGATGTGTGTGCCTACATCTGTGTGTGTGTGCTGACTTTGATCCTGCTCTCACATGTTCATGGTGATGGCTGGTGTGCTTTGCAGTCGAGTGTACGGCCGCGTCTTCTTGTGCAGCTGGCGGGAACATATTTTGTACGGCGCTCAACCAGACGTGCATCGACGCCACTGCCAACAGCGCAAGCAGCTCCTTCACGTGTCGCGCGGGTGAGTGCGTTTGAACCCAGAACAAACAAAAGCAAACACATTCGTGCCATTCCTTGATGTTGCGTTCGACACGAATCTCTTGAGCCCGCCTGCCAGGTTCGCCTGTCGCACGCAATTGCCGTGCACATGGTGTCTCACTCATGCTCAAATACACACATCCACTCCTTCCCTTGCTTGCCACGCCGATTCTCAGATTCACCATCATCAAGTGGAGTGGCGACATGGGTCATCATCTGGGCAGTCGCGTGCTCCGCCGTGTTCTGTATCACCGTGGCACTCTACATCTCCTTCTGCTACACGCGCATCAAGCGACGTGCTCGCATGGTGTGTGTGTGTGTGTGTGTATTTGTGTGCGTGTGTGTGAGTGTGTTTGTGTCTGTGTCTGTATGTGTTTGTGTGCGTGTGTCTGTATGTGTTTGTGTGCGTGTGTGTGTATGTGCGTGCGTGTGTGTGTGTCCTTCACACACAGGCAATGTTGATCTTGCTCCTGATTACACAGCCTCCAGCAACCTGCCTACACTTCTTCGTCTCATCACTCCCCCCCCCTCTTTCATGTTGTCAACTTACCCGGTGTTGGGTTGAAACCCGGATTACGACTCGCTCAGAGCTCACCAGGCTCAAATACCAGACACAGCTGTACCATGACCCAGCAGACACCGCTTTTCAGTAGCCGATGCAACGCGCGTCTATCTGATTACTAAACGACCCCCGAGACATGAACCTACGTCAGGAGTGGATTGAGGTGTTGCTGGACGCAGTAACATAGCCGCTGTCCCACTCACTCTGGTACTAGTTTCCATGTGCATGAAGCCTAGGGACGGATATGTCTTACGGGGGCGGTTTGACCGGGCATAAGGATGTATGGGAATTTGGGAGACCGAGGTGGCAGCGGCGATAAATACACTTCTTCGTCTCATCATCCCCCCCCCCTCTTTCATGTTGCAAATGTACACGGCAGACACGCCAGCAGCACAACAATGTCCCAGCTCTGCCTGGTCCCATCGTCACCCACGACGATCAGCTACCCGGTGTGTGTGTGTGTGTGTCTGTGTCTGTGTCTGTCTGTGTGTGTCTGTGTGTCTGTGTGTGCGTGTGTGCGTGTGTGTGTGTGTGTGTGTGTGTGTGTGTGTGTGTCGCTGTGTCGCTGTCTGTGTGTCCCCCTCCCCCACCCGCCTACCTGCATGTCTCTCTTTGTGCGTAAACACTTGGATGCAATGCCATTCTTCGTGCGTATGTTCCTGCCCGCTTCTATCCTCCTGCACCTCCCCCCCCCCCCCATCTCACCTCACATCATTGCCAACCCTCCAACCCATCCCGAACCATCCCGACCCCCCTTCCATCGTCCACCTTGCCGAGCAGCCGCGGGCCCCACGAGCGGGCGGCCGCAGTTGACGCGCGCATTTGCATTCAACATGACGTCCACATCCACCACCTTTGTGCAGCCGTTCACAGCACCAACACCACCCATGCGCCGTGCACGTGGCACTGCCGGTGGCCTGGACGCGGCCTCGCTCGACATACAGTGGAGCGACGAGGACCGATACGGGTTTGACGAGAGCGGGTCTGAGGGCGGTGATGTGGAGACAGACAGTCTGATTGTGGACCTGAAGATGTTCAATGAGAAGCAGCGGCCGTCAAATCCCATGCGCGGGCAGCTGGAGCAGACCCGGTGGTCCGATGACGACAGCAGCGACGAGGGCGGAGGGCTGTGGGGGTGGGGGTGGACGCAATCGCACCTCGCACCCATGATGGTTGCATCTGTCAAGCAGGACACGCAAAAGCGACAGCAGCACGCTGGTGGGGCTGGGGAACACAGGCGCAGCCGTGGCAGTGCACGTATCGCTGGTGGCCATCATGATGGCCTTCCTGATGCTGGTGACAGTGACAGCGATGATGCAATGTTGACGTTGGACGGTGTGGGTGGTGTGGGTGGTGTGGGTGGTGTGCTACCCCTGAACACGACGAGCATGACTGCCATGACAACGCTCAGTCGCAGTGCGAGTAGCAACAGCGGCAATGCAGATGCAAATGGGGTGCGTGAAGGAGATGGTGGTGTTCGTGTGAACGGTGGAGAGGAGGGTGATGGCGAGGATGGTGCTGGACACTTGGAGAGCGGAAACACGTGGACAAGCAGCCGCATATCTGTATTGCCCTCGTTCGACACAGGACTACCGGGTGGAGTTGCAATGCGCGGGCAAAGCCAGGCTGGCGATGGCGACGGCGCTGTGGTTGACGCGTGTGACAGTGATGTGGCGGTATTGACACGACCAGCCGTGCGCCGAACACACGTGCAGTCGAAGACACAACAACAACAACAACAACAACAACAACAACAACAACAACAACAACAACAACAACAACAACAACAACAACAACAACGGCCGTGGGAGGGGTCTGAAGCGAGCTTCAGTGGATGGGAGAGCAGTGGCAAATGCAGTTCGCTTGATGGCGTTCGTCTGTTTAGTGATGATGATGGCGCTGATGGCGCTGATGCTGATGATGAAGGCGATGGTGACTGGGACGATGAACTGCGACGAACAGCGGCCATCCACCAGGTGAGCAGTGGGTGACGGCAGCGGTGATGGGGAGTGATGATGGGAGTGAAGATGGTGGTGATCATGTGAAGGATGCGAGTACAGCCATGCTGCTTTCATTTGCACGTGGCAAACTTACAAGCTTTGTATCCCACTCGTGCCTCCTTCTTCACACCTAACTTACGCCACAATACCACCGCCACCACACACACACACACACACACACACACACACACACACACACACACACACACACACACACCACGTCCACACCATCGCCACCATCTGCCTGTCTCCTTATTCTTCGTTCTTCTTCATAGCTGCGGATGGTGATGGCGCGAACGGCCCAGCTCTCGCGCGTATCCCAACGCACACACGTACGCACACACGCACACGTGGTGCCGGCAGCTGCACCCATGAGGCAGCCGCAAGGGCGGCACACGACAGCAAGAAGTGGTGGTGTTGGTGGTCAGGGCGTGGACATGACAACAACAGCAACGCCAACAGCAACGCCAACAGCAACAGCAACACAGCGCACGATGGTGGTGGCAGGAAATGGGGGAGGAAGAATAGGAGCAGGGGTAAGGCCGCAACAGCAGCAGCAGCGGCACTTGGCATACACCACTGCCAATCACGCGAGTGCCGGTGGTGAGAGGATGATTCAGCCGCGTCGCATTGTGCCAATGGTTGTGTCCTCCAATCCAGACAAGCCAGTCTCCTACCTCTGATGCTGTAAATGTAATTATTGCTTCATGTGTCTGCAGGGGGGGGGGGGGGCTTGATGAGAAATTGTGATTGTGTTGCTGACGGCTGTGCTCGTTCCTGATGGTATGTTATGCCTCCACTGCTCCCCTTTTTCGTTCATTTGAACCATCCATGTGTCCCATGATGGTCGTGCGTATGTTTGTGGTTGTGTTTGAGACTGATGGATGCATGGATGGGCCAGTTGAACTGGCGAGCGAGGTTGCTGTGCAACACCTGCTACGTCTGTTGGACATTGTTTGTATCTGTACATTGCTTGTGGACATTGTTTGCATCTGTATATTGCTTGTATTTAACATTCACCTCTTCGCGTTCGCGTCCCACCGTGTATTGGGCGCAAAGAGACCATAAACGCACGTCGCAAATCTCTTGCCACGGCTGTCAACTTGGTTGAATGCATAGATGTGGCTCTGTGTGTGTATGTGTCTGTGTGTCTGTGTGTCTGTGTACGTGTGTCTGTGTCTGTGTTGAATGCGTGCATTAAGTGTGCGTGCAAGCACGTGTGTGTACACGTGTCAGTCGCGTGCCTCGTGGTCTTCCTCCATCTCCTCCACCTTTCGCTGCAGAATTGTGCGCAGCGCTTTTGGTGCGCACTCCAGCGGCAGCCGCTCCTCCTGCCCATATGGTGCATGTGCAGGAGAGAGAGAGTGTGTGTGTGTGTGTGTGTGTGTGTGTGTTTGTACAAGAGGCACAGACACACAGGCAAACACACGCAGGCACACACGTGTATGGCACAGTCCACAAACCTTGTTTCTGATGTCAATGTTTGCGCCGCGTGTCAGCAACTCCAGCGCCACCTCCGTGCACTGGCCCTCGCACGCCAGGTGTCTGCATCATCAACAACGGCAGCAATGAGATCAACATGATGGGAGGGGCAATGTGAAGAATGAAACGTTGCCATGATTTGACCGTCACATGACAACAGCGAGCGCGCGCGCGCACACACACACACACACACACACACACACACACACACACACACACACACACACACACACACACACACACACACACACACACACACACACACACACACACACACACACACACACACACACACAAGGGTGGGGGGACTGGCAACGTACAGTGGAGTGTTGAGCTGCGAGTCTTTGACATTCTTCCTCGCGCCGTTATCAAGCAGGAATTTCACCACGCGCAGATGGCCCCTGGCAGCTGGTAAACACACACACACACACATGAGGATGAGCGATGCATAAGGTATCATTGGAAGATCATGCACGCACGTCACGCACACGTTATGCACGCACGTCTTAAGAGACTAATACCTGCGCGGTGGATGCTGGTGGATTGGTGCTTGTCCACTTCATTGACAGGGGCGCCAGCACGCGTCAGTCGCTCGACAACCTGCCGCGAAAACAAAAAGGAGCAAAGGCAGTCGTACAGAATGAGCTGGCAGAGGTAGGCATGCGAGTGTGTTGAGCTGGACTGAATCAAACCAACAACCTATGTGTGTGCTTTCTGGAGCTCCACATGCATGTGCACACCTGGATGTGGTTCTTGCTGCTTGCGTAGTGCAGGGGTGTTGCGCCAGCGTCGTTCTTGGCACTCACACTCGCTCTGCATGCAGCACCACCAAAACATGAGCGTATCATGGGCCACCGGAAAATGGGCACAGGGAAGGGGGAACGCACACACGCACACACGCACACACGCACACGCGCATGTACACAGGTACACACACGCACACACGCACACACGCACACACGCACACACGCACACACACACAGGTACACACACACACACACACATACAAGCTTGTAAGCACGCAGCCACGGCTTTGGCAAGGCCGCTTCACATGCATAAAATCGCACCCATTGTCGAGGAGCATCCGCACGGCGTCGTCGCGGCCAGCCGATGCGGCAATGTGAAGAGCTGTCCACCCGGCCTGTCAAGCATCAAAAACGCAACGTTGTGTGTACGTGTGCGAACATGTGTGAGTGTGTATGAGTGTGTGTGTGTGTGTGTGCGAACATGTGTGCTCGTGAGGGCCGTGTATGTCCTGTGCTCGTGAGTGTGTGTGTGTGTGTGTACAACGTGTTGTGTTGCACCACAGCCGACACCTCATCTGCGATGGTCACGTCTGCATCATTCTGGAGTAAGAGGTCGACGACAGGCAAATGGCCCGCTGAACACGCCCAATGCAGTGGCGTACGAGCATCCTATACGTGTGAATGTTTTGTGTGTGAACCGTGTCGTGGACAAGCAAGGGTGAGCGACACGAGCACAACATATCACGTGCGTGGACAAGCAAGGGTGAGCGACACGAGCACAACATCACGTGCGTGGACAAGCAAGGGTGAGCGACACGAGCACAACGTATCAAATGCAAACATGACAAAAGTACACATGCTCAACAACCACTGTGCTGTGTCGACTCGACACAACACCATACACAGCTCAAATAGCGTACCTCATCTCGTTTGTTGACGTGGTCTGGGTGCTTTGTCAGGTACTCGGCCAGCTCTGCCGTCTTGCCCTCGTACGCCAGCGAGCACACCTCCGTCACGGACATGTTGCTTGGTTCTTGCTTTTTGCTGTCCTTTTGTTTGCTTTGCCGTTTGTGTGCGTTTCTGCAGCTGTTGTGTGTGCGACTGAATTCAGTGTCGTGGCCTGCAACGTCTGACGAAGCAGTTGTCAGCTCTGTCTTTGCTTGTGTTTGTTGCTTCTTGTCTGTCTGCATTCTCGCACACACCAGCCAGACATCACTCACCACCACCACCACCGAACACAACTCCACCTCGCTTTGTCGCTCGGAGTTTGAAAACAGAGACGATGGCACTGGTGAGACATGCACGCCACCCATCTTGTTGCTGCTGGGTCTTGGTTCCACCGTTGACGGCTTTCCACGTCGTCTTGTTAACTCTTGTTGTCATTCGTTCGCTCATGGCGTGCCTTTTGCGACTGTTGATCGCTTTCCTCTCATCTGTGCTCGATTTCTCGGCTGTATGCCTGCATGCAGACGCTGCGCATTCGTACCCCAACGGGGATGAAGCGCATTCAAGCTTCTCCGGAATGGACCTTGAAGCACCTCTACCAAGAAGTATGCGTGTGAATGTGTGTGATTGTGTCATTGTGCGTATGTTTGTGTACCTGTGTATGTGTGTGTGTGTCAATGTTTGGATACGATGCGCCTTGGCGTACACGTTCAATGATGCCACAAACAGCATGAGAAGCTCAACAACAATCATGCCTCCCTCTACCAGGTTGCTGCCATGCTTGGCATTTCGGCGCGCCTGCGTCTGAAGACAAAGCAGAGCAAAGATCTCGCAGAGTCAGGCTGGGACAAGCCCCTCAGCGCAACGTCCATCAGGTGCGAGACATCGCCACAAACTGGGTTTCGTGCCGCACATGGTGTTGCTGATGAGCACAACCGTGCACAACGCAGTCTTGTACATCTCAGCGCATTCGCTCATGTACGCCGGCGTTAACCCTCCGCCGCACCTCTGCCTCTTCTCTTGTGCTTAATTTCGCTCCTTTCGTTCCTGCGCTTGCTCTTGTCGATGCAGACACGGCGACATTCTCACACTGGAAGTCGAGAAATGTGAGCAACCATTGTCACAGCTTGCGTGTATGTTTGGGGGGAAGTGATACTTGTCGTGAGACCTGGCACGGCTTTCAACTGCAGAAGCACACAGCGACTCACGCACATACTCACACACGTTCATACACACACACACACGTTCATACGCGCACACCCTCTCTCACATGCTCACACATGAGTGCATTTACGCGCACACTCTCATACGTATGCTCACTCACACGAAACCTGCCGGCGTAACCGATGCACCAGCTGCGGAGGAGCAGGAGAAGCACGATGAGGAACAGCGGCGGTTACAGGCGCTGGAGCTCGATGCCGTGGACGTTGTTCTCGCTGCAAAGGACGGAAAGGTCACACGCAAGCGCGGCCCACTGTAAGATCAAGTGCCTTTGGTGTTGCATTATCATACCTATTCATCGTCCTTCTTTGTGCTCTTCCCTCTCAAAGGGACCGCCCGTACATGCACAAGCACTTACCTTCGTGTGCCATTGTGTGTCTATGTGCGTGTGTGTGTATGTGTGTGTGTCTGTTTGTGTTTGTGTGTGTGTGTCTGTGTGTGTCTGTGTGTCTGTGCATGTCTGTTTTATGTGCGTGTGCACACCATCAGGTGCCGGCATCCGCCGATGGGGTCGTGTCTGCACTGCACGCCGCTTGAGCCGTACGATCCGCAAGTCCTCAACGCAGCAGATCCGCCCATCAAGTTCCTCTCCTTCCAGTCGTTCCTCCGAAAGATCGAGCACGGGTGTGTGTGTGCGTGTGCGTGTGTGCGTGTGCGTGTGTGTGTGTGTGTGCGTGTGTGTGTGTGTGTGTGCGTGTGTGTGTGTGTGTGTGTGTTGTGTGTCTGTCTGCCTGTTTGCCTGCACGGTGTGTCATTTTCCTTCCCCGTATGCCTCACATCCTCCATTCTTCATACCCACCTCCGCCCCGCCACCCGCAGCGACAAGTTTGCTGCGCTGCCCGAGATTGACTGCAAAGTGAAGCCATGCCTCAACCACGCCCCCTGGCCCGAGGGCATCTGCTCAAAGTGCCAGCCCAGCGCCGTCGTCCTCAACAGACAGGTGACACCCTGCCGTGTGATGTTGTTGTTGCTGCTGCTGTTGTTGCTGCTGCTGTTGTTGTTGCTGTTGTGGTGGTCGTGGTGGCTCGTAACTGCAACGGTACGACATTTGAGTGCCAGCTCAATTCACATGCACACACACACACATACACACACACACACGCACGCACACTGACGTACACGTACGCAGGAGTACCGACATGTGGACTATGTTGAGTTTGAGTCGCACGAGATCCTGGACAAGTTCCTTGACGCGTGGCGGCGGTCGGGTGCCCAGCGGGCAGGGTTCATGTATGGGTCATACGAGGAGTACGACCAGGTCCCGCTCGGCGTCAAGGCTGTCGTCAAGGCCATCTACGAACCCCCGCAGGTGGGGGGGGGGTGTCTGTGTTGTTTGTTTGTTTGTTTGTCTGTCTGTCTGTCTGTCTGTCTGTGTTGCTGTGCCAGTAGCAGTGTGAGTTACCTGCCCCTTTTCCCCTAACACATCACCACCACCACCACCCCGACCACCCAGTCCAACAGTGCGCTCGGGCTTGAGATTGCGCTTGAATCGCCGCAGATCCAGCAAGTCGACCAGATGGCGAAGCAGCTTGGCCTCAAGCGCGTAAGGGCCCGTGTGTGTGTGTGTGTGTGTGTGTGTGTGTGTGTGTGTGTGTGTGTGTGTGTGTGTGTGTGTGTGTGTCGTGTGTGTGTGTGTGTGTGTGTGTGCTAAGGTGGTCATACCCAGTCACGCCTCGTTAGTAACTTTTATGAATGAGCGGTATATAGGTGAGGCTGAGCACTCGTTGCAATTAGTAGGGCATTTAGCAAGACCCTAAGCCGAATGATAGCCGAACAGGAGACAGGTGTCAAAAATTAGTGTCCACGAACCGCGGTAGGTTGTTGAGCAACTAGAATGATTCGCTAAAGGTGATCTTAATACGATGATCCGAGACGCGGTACCCATATGTGTGTGTGTGTGTGTGTGTGTGTGTGTCGTGTGTCGTGTGTGTGTGTGTGTGTGTGTGTGTGTGTGTGTGTGTGTGTACACTTGTATACGCTTGTGTACGCTTGTTGTATCTCTTCGGGCGGTGGTAACGGGGCGGCGCTGGGGGTGTGCTGCATTGCAGGTTGGCTGGATCTTCACCGATTTGGAACCAGACGCCAACGGTCTTGCCAAATACAAGCGATACATCCAGTGAGCACGCCACGTTTTTGTTTCTTTTGTGTGTGTGTGTGTGTGTCTGTCTGTCTGTCTGTCTGTCTGTCTGTCTGTCTGTGTATCTGTTGTGTCTGTGTGTCTGTGTATCTGTTGTGTCTGTGTGTCTGTGTGTGTCTGTGTGTGCCTGGTCCTCGGGAAGCTCACTTCACTCCCGTCATCGACATCATCATCGTCATCATCGCCAGGCCCGGGGATGAGGACTCGTATGTCATCAGCGCAGAGGAGATCCTCAACGCCGCCATGTACGACCATCATCATCATCATCATCATCATCATCATCATCATCATCATCATCATCATCATCATCATCATCATCATGTCGTGTCTGCATTGCATGTCGCACTGCTCGTCCTCGTCGTGGTTTTGACCTTGCAGCCACAGCGATATCAGCTTACTCCATACACGCTCACGCGCATGCATCTCCACACTCCTCCCTCTCCATGCGACCACCACCATCATCACCACCCATCAATATCGCCGCCGCCGCCATGACTGTCGTGTCGTCGCCAGGTTCCAGAACCAGCACCCAAACCCGGTGCCGCCTCGCTTCTCGACCACGGGGGTGCACGGCTCCAAGTTCACGACTGTCGTTGTCTCGGGTGACAGCGAGCACCAGATTGTGCCCAGGGCGTACCAGGCCAGCACGCAGGCCATGAACCTCGTCAGAGGTCAGACGCGCGCGGAAGTTTTGGGGAGGGGGGCGTGGTGGACACGTGTGTGTGTGTGTGTGTGTTTGTGTGTTGACGTGTGTGTGTGTGTGTGTCTGTGTGTCTGTGTGTCTGTGTGTCTGTGTGTATCTGTGTCTGTCTCTGTGTGTCTGTGTGTGTGTGTGTGTGTGTGTGTGTGTGTGTATGTGTTGGTCCACATGCATTCCCCTCCAACCAGGTGACCATCTCCCCATTCCCCATTCTCCATTTCACCCCTTCATCACCATCACCATCCCAACTGCCCTGTGCAGACGACATCCTGCGGCCGAGCGACTCCCCCGCGCTGGTTGCCGTGCGCCCCGCCGACGACACCACATTTGTGCCCGAGGTCCTCTTCACCCAGCGCGACAAGTACAACAATGAGATCAAGCACAAGGCCGACCCGCTCTTCCCCGTCGCATACCTCGCCGTCGACTTGCCAGCGGGCGGCCGCGTGAGTTGTGGCAATTGGAGGTGGTGGAGGTGATAGCTGGAGATGCATGTGGTGGCGGTTATTGTGTGTGGTGGCGGCAATTGAGATGATTACCAAGTGGTGGTGGAGGTGGTTCGTGATGAAGTTCTCACACTTGCTCTGTGTATTGCTCTGTGTTTTGCTGCGCCGATGACCCCTCTCTGTCTTGTTCACTTCCGCTGCTCTTGTTTACCCTGCTGTACATTTCGTTTAGATGGACGCGACGTCCACCACGTTTAGCGTTTCGTTCCCCATTGAGAATCGCGAGGCGCTTGGTGCCCCTGCCTCCCTCTCTGCCCTCAAGCAGCACCTCCAGGACACTTCAAAATCCTTCCTGCAAAAGGTCGCCTTGTGTGATTGTGTTTGTGTGTCTATGTGTGTCTATGTGTGTGTCTGTGTCTGTTTGTGTGTGTCTGTGTGTCTGTTTTGTGTGTTTGTGTGTCTGCTTGATTGATCCACGCCCTCCTCACTACTCACATGCTCCGTTCTTCCACCCGTCCTTCATGCCGTGGTGCTGGCGATACACAGGTGTCCGACTTCCATCTGCTGGTGTACCTCATGACCGATGACATGTTCGTCTCCCTCAAGGTGAGGCATCCTGCACCGCGCACATGCACACGCGCATGCACACGCACATGCACATGCACATGCACATGCACACGCGTGTGCTTCGCCATTGACCACAGGAACGCTCGTACGCAGAATCACACTCACACACACGCACATACAGTCTCGCTCACCCACCCACTCACTCACCAAAACACACCCATACATCCTTCCTCTCCCCCCCCCCTCTCCCCAAATCGCCAATTGTGGTCGTCTGCTGGGTCAGGAGTCACTGCCGTCGCTGCTGCGCGCTGTCCGCGATGGCGACGAGTCTGCGGCGGCGGCGTGGACGCAAGACGAGCACTGGATGACCATCACCATGCTCATGGAGTCGTCGTGATCACACACACACACTCACTCACGCGCACACACACACACATATGCACACACGCACATGCGCATTTGCATACATTCACACAAACACATGCTGATGCTGCTGATTGATGCTGGCGCTTCTTCGAGTATTGCTCGTGTTGGTCGCCAGTCCCTGTGTGTGTTGTGCCTGAACAACTGTGCATCGCGCGTGTGCAGTGCTGCCAATTCTCGTCATCTTTGGCTCCCAGTCCCCATTTGCGTGCTGGTCTTCTTCTTCTGTGTGCACATGAACGGTTGTGTTGCATCGTAACTCGGAAACACACAAATAACAAACGCCCACACAATCGCGCATGAACATGGTGTATGACTGAACGCAATGAACTACGCATGTTCGCAACCCCACTTCTCCCATCCTCTCCGCTCGCTTGCTTGCTGGTACAGCCAGCTGCATGGTGAATATGCAGGCAGACACACTGCTTGTCCCTGTTGCGTGGCACTGGCACTGCTGGGCCTCCAAGCAAACACGCAATGTGGTGCTGTTGCGCCCCTGATTCTAATCCGAAACTGTTGTGGTTGTTGTTGTTGTTGTTGTCGTTGTTGTCGTTGTTGGTGGTGGTGATTTGATGATGATTGTAGAGCTGGATTGGTTGCTGCTCACGTATGCTCTCCCCTCTCGTTCCTTGAGTTGCTACCACTACTACTTCTTCTTTTTCAGCACAAACACCACTGCAAAAGTGCGAATATGCATGCAGCAACGTGAGGTGGAGACCGGGCGTGCGATGATGGAAACAGCGCACACGCACACACGCACACGCACGCATCCACACACACACACACACACACACACACACACACACGACACACACACACGACACACAC